CCGAGCCCCGCTGTGCTCTCCTCTCAGGCTTTCTTTCTTTCAAGCCCCCTCCCGCAGTGATTCCCACGCCTCGAACTGCAGGTGATGCTCTTCCTCTTCTGCAGCTGAAATTCGTCGCGACGTGTCGCCTGCCCGGTTTTTGCAGGGCGGAGGCACAAACAGTCTCTGCAGACTGGCCTGGACGACTTGTACTTTGTAACCCTCCAACTTCTGGAGGTGATATATTTTAAATACTTCTTGTACTCTAGCGCTGTTTGTGGTCTTTGTGTTGAAAATCATGGAACCGTATTTTGATTTTCAAATCCTTTACAAAAGCGCGTACATTTTTAGACCTTACTCTGAAGCATAGAAGGTTCCAAGGGGTGGGGGAGGAGGTGGAGGAGGAGCCAATTTCTAATGTGCCTTACAAATCATCCATAGTGATAGGGCCAATACACAAATCAATTCTCTCTTCCTCGTAATGTAAACTAAGATAAATGTAAACACTGTTGAAGTTTAATTTATAAATGAATGTGTTGTTTTTATATAAGCGTCCAGACTCCAGGAAAATATCTGCTGTAGAATTTTTTTTAATACTAAAATACCCAAATAAAATCTCTCCAGTATAGCGTGAAATTCCCAGGGAGCCATCTATCTGTGAGTTGATTGACACTGTCCCCAGAAAGTCGGCATTAAAATTCGAAGATCTGTGGAAAAGGGCGAGGGGGCTCTGAACGGCTTCTATCACTGCATTTGCAGCCATCAGTGTAAATCTAGTGGTCATTTTAGTTGATCTCTGTCTTTGGAAGGTAAAGGGCAAAACCTGGAGGACACAGGAAACAAGACAAGGAGTTAAATGGTTAAGAAAAAAAATTAAACGTTGAAGTATTTTGTGTGCTTAGCCTTCAGGAGGTGTATAACTTCTCTAAATTTTGGTTTTCTCATCTGTAATAAGGGAATAATAATAATGTTCCCCATGGTAAACTATATTCTTGTATTTATTCATTAAAATATTTATTGAATGCCATTTGTTTGCTAGGGAGATAACATTCATGCACGCGGGCAGCGCTTTTATTGAGTATCATATGAACTGTCTAGCAAGCACATCACAAGTAATACTAATTTTCTTACCCACCCTCCTTCATTGCAATGTCTCTATTTTCTCATCTCTAAAATTAGGAATGTTAAGCGGAGGTAGGTCATCACAAATAATTCAAGTTAGGGAGGGGCCAGGCGGAGAGGCTAGGAAAATAGAAAACTGTGGGAAAGGACCTTAGAGGCCCGGCCGACCCAGGGGCAGCTGGAAGGTGCCAGATTCCTGAGGAAGGAGGAGACTATATCAAAAGAAAGACTGTCTTGTAAGGTTAGCCTGTTAGTGCAGAGGACAGACTCCTCATGCTTCACTATTTCAACTACACAGACTCACTCCTTTTATGTCGATAGCTGAAATTAGAAATTGACCATGTATTACGAGGTCCTATAAATGACACACATTAATTCCCCTCCCACCCCCCAGACACTGCTGTGCAAGTCAATTTGGTTTGCTATACTAATCTTTGGAGTTTTGGTTTGCTATACTAATCTTTGGAGTTATCATAGGTAAATCTAATTATATTTATTTAAAAAAGAAAACTACAAGCCAGAAGAACTTATACATACTAATTGATTAAACTAATCAAAATAGCTACTTTTAAAAACAAAGTGAGTGGGCAGAAAACGTTTAATAAAACCTCTAGATCTACGCAGACCAATACCATACGTAGCCACTAGCCACACATGGCTATTTAAATTAAATCAAAATTCAGTTTTTTAGTCTCACTAGCTAAATTTCAAGTACTCAATATCCACTTGTGGCCAGTGCCCATATTGTTCTGGGCTGATTAAAGAACATTTTCTTCATAATGGAGAGTTCTATTGAACAGCACTGTTAAAGACTTTGCTACGGATTTTGGAAGGCTACATCAAGTATCATAATTTTGATGTATCCAATATTGAGTCACTTCCAAAGTAAAAAAGCAGAAACAAAATAGATACACAGAAAGATTCATTCATTCCACAAATATTTATCAAGTACCAACAATATGTTAAGTGAAATTAGAAAGGACTAAAAATTTAATGAGTTAGGTGTGTTTAGTGATTAAGAAATATTAACGTGGCTTAACATAGTCTTTTGTTGTTTTCAATCATTGCTGAGTGCTAAAACCAGGAAACACTAAATTTAAAGCAAGAAAGAATTCTAAGGCATTTTTAGGAATAGTCCTAGGACTAAGTAATTATAAATTGGCTGGTTGACTTCTTGCGTCCTACCCTCTTTGTTCCTTTTCTTAGCTTTCTCATCTGCCATCACCCCCTTTCTGCCTACACTTCCTGAAAGTGGCATACAATTCAGCCCTCTCCACCTCCCCAGATTTTGGAATTATTTTACACTTTGCATTCAAATACAGCTCTCCTCTGGGATCTGCTTGTACTCTTCAAGAGGGGCCTTCAGAACAGGCAACTAGTCAATCTCAGAGGAATAGTAGTGGTATGAATATGTTAATATCCCTGGTCCCTTCCAAGTTTATTAGAACAAAGACTTTCTTAAAGCTACACCTTAATGATAAAATTTTATTTTAATAGTGAAATTCCAGATGCCATAGCCAGTCAAGAAAATATTTGGAGGCATTACAATTATGCTACTGGATAGCTAACAAAGTATATCTTCATTT